CGATTTGATTGCACAGGCACTTGGTTTTCTTTATTTTATTTTATGAGCGATGAATTTTCGCCAGATCTGTCAGGAGTCTATCCTGCGCGACTCAGTCTTCTACATTGGAAACGAAAAATTGGTGAAGAGTCGGATCCCCAAGTTTTGTTTTTGAAAGCCGAGCTCATCGTTTTGTTTCTTTATTTTGTTTTTTTGAGGTCAGCAGATGTTTGAATATCGTCGTCCCTCTTCGTGGTGTCCATTCCTGATTTGCACACAGTGCACTGTTTCAGGCTCAGCTGAAATCATGCATTCGATTGTGAATACATTATTCATTTAGATTTTGCTTCATGGAGGTCAAGCTGGACACGCAATGATCATTGAGAGGGATGAGGGCTCCGACGGATGGATCGCCTATGAAGGCAGATGGAACCCTGAGAATTATGAATTCGACAGGCTGAGGGCATGTTTTAAGTGCCCCGAACGTGGAGCACTTGACAACGGCTCGTATCAAGAATGGTATGTTAATGCAGCTCCGATTGGAGCCGCCCCTAACTGGGGGACTTCGACCATGCGTTGCCTTTCCAAGTGGGAATGTGAATGATACGTGTTATTTTTGTTGGGTCTGGTTGCAAATGTTTCCTCCGTGATTGTGAAAGCATATGATCTAAAGTTTTTTTCTGATGCAATGATTTGTTTTTTTTGTTTCTCAGGTCAGTGATCGGGAACACTCCGTGATCTGGAATGAAACAACGCTTCGAATCATGCTTCAGCGTGAGTGTATTTGCTAAGTCAATGCACCACAGTCCGACGCACGGATCTTCCTCCAGGTGGCCAAATAATGCCAATTATATGTCAGAGTTTCCAGATGGGATGAACAGCATTCGCTAGTATTCAAGCGATGCACGTCACGATGCCACATCACATGACATGATTACGTGTTATTCATTCTGGCTCCCCAGCTTCTATTAGCGACCTGTTAAGTTGGGCTTTGAGTTTTGTCGGAATTGCGGAAGTGTCGGATTCTCAGATAAAGGTCAGCCGACTCTCGTATGCAGTGATTTATTTATTTTTTCATCCGCTTCAGCAGCTGAAGTCGTCTTTGCGCTATCCTGGACATTGAAGTTGGAGTATATTGCTTATACACTCGCATTCCATGGAACCTTTCTGAACGAGGGCCTTGAGTCTGATTCTTCTCCTTTGACGCAATTGCTGAAGTGTCAGATTCTCAGAGAAGTGAGTTGTCTACAGGATTGGTTATCTTCTCCTTTTTTTGCAGATTTTAGCACAACATTGTTCTTTTTATCCAGAGTTTAGGGTTTAGCCTTAGAGAATCATGCCAAAAATTTGGGCAGCGCTCCCGCTGAGGGGGGCCGACCCCCATCGCGAAAAGTTTCTTTTAGTTGTTGAGGTTGTTGTGAGAATGAACGGTGCGATCAGCGATTTTATTGCAGAGGCACTTGGTTTTCTTTATTTTATTTTAGCAGCGATGAATTTTCGCCAGATCTGTCAGGAGTCTATCCTTCGAGATTCAGTGTTCTACATTGGAAACGAAAAATTGGTGAAGAGTCCGATCCCCAAGTTTTGTTTTTGAAGGCCGAGCTTATCGTTTTGTCTTTTTATTTTGCTTTTTTGAGGTCAGCAGATGTTTGAATATCGTCGTCCCGCTTCGTGGTGTCCATTCCTGATTTGCACACAGTGCACTGTTTCAGGCGCAGCTGAACTCATGCATTCGATTGTGAACACATTTTTCATTTAGTTTTTGCTTCATGGAGGTCGAGCTGGACACGCAATGATCATTGAGAGGGATGAGGGTTCCGACGGATGGATCGCCTATGAAGGCAAGTGGAACCCTGAGACTTTTGAATTCGAAAGGTTGAGAGCATGCTTTAAGTGCCCGGACCGTTGGGCACTGGATAACGGCTCCTATCAAGGATGGTTTGTTAACGGAGCTCGACGTGGAGCAGACCCCAATTGGGGCACTTCGACAATGCGTTGTCTTTCCAAGTGGGAACGTGAATGATACGTGTTATTTTTGTTGTCTCTGGTTGCAAATGTTTCCTCCGTGATTGTGAAAGCAGATGATCTAAAGTTTTTTGCTGCTGCAATGATTTGTTTCTTTTTTCGTTTCTCAGGTCAGTGATCGGGAACACTCCGTGATCTGGAATGAAACAACGCTTCGAATTATGCTTCAGCGTGAGTGCATTTGCTAAGTCAATGCACCACAGTCCGACTCACGGATCTTCCTCCGGGTGGCCAAATAATGCCAATTATATTTGAGAGTGTCCAAATCGGATGAACAGCATTCGCTAGTATTCAAGTGATGCACATCACATGACATGATTACGTCTTATTCATTCTGGCTCCCCAGCTTCTATTAGCGACCTGTTAAGTTGAGCTTTCAGTTTTGTGGGAATTGCGGAAGTGTCAGATTCTCAGATAAAGGTCAGCCGACTCGCGTATGCAGTGATTTCTTTATTTTTTCATCCCTTTCAGCAGCTGAAGTCGTCTTTGCGCTATCCTGGACATTGAAGTTGGAGTATATTGCTTATACACTCGCATTCCATGGAACCTTTCTGAACGAGGGCCTTGAGTTTGATTCTTCTGCTTCAACACCATTCCTGAAGTGTCAGATTCTCAGATAAGTGCAAATTGTCTACAGGATTGGTTACTTCTTTTTTATGCAGATTTTGGCACAACAGAGTTCTTTTTATCCAGAGTTTAGGGTTTAGCCTCAGAGAATCATGCCGGAAATTTGGGCAGCGCTCCCGCTGAGGGGGGCCGACCCCCATCGCAAAAAGTTTCTTTTACTTGGTGAGGTTGCTGGAAGTTGAGTCTGATGCGATCGGTCTGTCCGTGATCGGGTTATCAGAAGTTTTATTGCTTGATCCAGGCTCTAATGTTTGATTTGTCTAGAGTATAGACAGATCAAACAGTAGAGCCTTGGTGGAACCAAATTGGGTGGTACCATCAAGGAGGTTGGGTGGTTGGGGAGACCCATGTTGGGTTTTCATTGCAAGGACATATTGTTCTTGATTCTGCGTCGCCTCGACGGTCTGCCCGGTCGAGCCCTGGCTCTGCCCGAATGGGTTTGGCCGCGTCTCACGGGTGGATCCGAGGTACGTGTGCCATGCGCAGAGCCATTCCTTACATCCTATGTTCAGCATCAGTTTTAACATCATGCATCAACGCGTCTTCTGGATCAGTTTGAGCATCATGCATCTGAAGGCGCTCGTGTGTTCTTCAGATCCATGGAATTCAACCTGACTGAGAAGCTGAGTTTAAGTATGGTGATGCGTGTACTTCCAATGCCTATCAGTGTTATGAAGAAAATGTTTGCTTTTCTCCCGTGCAACCTTGCTTGGCACTCCTTTTCTGTTGTCATGAGGTCGGATGTTGGTGGAATATGCACTGTTGAAAGAAATTCTTATGATTTTGCTTGCTTGTGCTCAAGAGAAGAGAGAGTGTTCATCTTCGAAATCTATAGGTCGAGCGAGTTTCCCAACATTTTATCAGCTGTTCCACTCCAATAATTTTGTCTTGCTTTGTTTTTACGATTAGCAAGCAAAATACATTTTCAGCTCCTGTCCTGGCAATGGATGGAAACACTGTTGGTGGGAATAGCCTTTGTGCCAATTGTGGTTGGCGATGGAACAAATGTATTGCCACAAGAGAGGAGTTCAAGAAAGTTCTTTTCATGAACTGGGTGAAACAATATGACCGACCTTTGTGTTGGCTTTGTGCCCAAGTTTGCCCTTTTTTACAAGATGGACAAAAGGATCCGAACGGATTGATCCGACAGTTTGAGTCTTCCTGGGCAACGGCCCGACAATATCGAAGGCTAAAGATGCTGCCACCATGTGACCCTCTTTTTAGCCTAGAGGCGGAGCGAGATTCTGTGTCTCCTGAGATTTGGCGTGATCCCTTTTCGCCGAGAAATGAAAGAACAACATCGACTTCTAACATCTTTGCAGGTATGATCGCAGAAGCTCAGAGGTTGAGGTGTGACATGATGTCACTGAGGACCAGGCTCGATCAAATTTGCCTTGAGTATGGTCGACAGATTTTGTCAAAAAAGAATGAAGAATGTGTTTTCACAAATGAAGAAGCAAGTAATGCAGCATCTTCTTCCGACCGAGGGCAGAATCGTTGGTCAACGCAACAAGATCGACAATCAAGAAGCGGCAATTTCCCGTTGCATCCGCTGCCAACAGTGCATGAATCTGAAAATAGATCGAATGACCGGAACATGTCACATGAATCTGGAAGCTGGACCGAAGACAGTTCTTGGAGAGATTCATCGTCATGGCGGCAAAACAACCGATGGCAATCCTGGAATTCAAACGGAGGTTACTCCTCCCAGGATACTTGGGATGAAACTGAAGGTGAGGGATCATGGAACCGTTCCTATGAAGGCCACACTATGTTGAAACTTTGCAGAGCTCGAATAATAGCAATGCGAGACAGGCACGACCTCCTCGTGTAGTTTGGGATCCTCCTCCTGCCAATTCTGGTCGTTGATGGCAGAAGGCTGTTCATGTTCAAATGCAAAACTTCAAAAGATTCATTGCTTGCATGGACACAATTTGTGTCTTTTTCTTTTTAACCACAAGAGGTTCGGTCCGAGCAGAATGGAATGTCCGTGATCGGGTAAGTTCGTGATCGGCAGATTTTCCCAGTGAATGCAGACTTGAAATCATCATCACGTTTCAGTAAAGCTGTACTGTGAATGGTGGAGAATTCAGTGAATGTGAAAAAGTGACTTCTGTGCATCTGTGTCAAAAGAGGGGAGGTTCAGAATGTTGATGTGCTTTTAACATTGGAGTTGATACGTATATTTTCTTCTTAATAGTTGAAGCTTTATCAAAATGTTTTGTATAGATTTTTATGAATTAAGTTGAAACGATGATGCCGTTTCCATATGATGCATAAGCTTCCTCTGATCATTTTACTCGCTAACATTATGGCTCCAGATTTTTCACAGAAAACGTTATCCGCGAGGGTGATTTTTATTCTTTTTGATGGACGTGCGTGTTTGGTCCATTTTCTCTGGCGAATTATTGAGCAGAATTGCTTTGGAAGCTGGCCCTGGTGTTACTGGAGCAGACATCAAAAAAATACTCTCTGACCAGCTGGGAATCAATAGGTTCAGACAAGTGTTGTATTCGAAGGATGGAACACAGATTCTAAATGGAGAAGTCTTAAACCAAATTGAGCATGATGTGCATTTGCTGGTCAAAGGAACCGGGCACGTTTCGTGCAACGAGTCCCAGCGAAGTCAAATGGTTGAAGCTTCTTCGGCTAATAAACTGCAGATCCTGGAACTGCTATTGTACGAGCATCTTGATCCAAACACTACAGACGCATATGGCAGAACCCTACTAGAATTGGCAGCTGGCGGAGATCATCTGGACGTAGGCAATCTTTTATTGGAGGCTGGTGCTGAAGCAGAGACGAAATCAGCCATAAGCACTCCTCTTTTGACAGCCACCAGAATGGGCAACACCGAATTCGTGAACCTTCTGTTGCAGGCTAATGCAAATCCTAATCGTTGCTACTGTGTTCGACCTGGATTTCAAAAATGTTGGACACCTTTGATTTGTGCTGTTCGCCACGACGTGGATTACGATTACAGACACGCAACTATCGTTCCCATGCTCATTAAAGCGGGAGCAGACGTGAACTACAGCTGTGATAGCAAGCCACCCTAGGTTGCTGCAGTCGAGCAGTCGAGTTATCACATCATGTGGTACCTGCTTCAAGCTCAGGCAAATCCGAATGTCACGAATCGCAATTTGAAGCCAGTTTTGCATATTGCCGTCAAAAGAAACGATCCTACTGCTGTGGAAATGTTGCTTCAGAACTCTGCTGATATAGAATTGAGAGATGCTCAGAATCGATCAGCCGAGCAGCTTGCAGCCAGTGCTGCTTTGAGAGAAATGCAAGGAATGCTTTCTCGTAGACATTTGCGGCAACATCATTAGGAATGAAATCATTCCGTACAGAAGAAAATTGCTCAAGCTTCAGTGGAAAAACAAAACTCTAAGTAATGCGATAGTCGGAATTCTTCTAAGTCCGATAGAAGTTCTTTCTGAGGACGATGAACGCATTTCGTTGCTGAATGATAAGTTAACAATTTCTGTTTCACAATGCTTGTTGTTGTTTCATTGGAATTTGCTTGTTTCGGGTCAAGTCAGCTCTACAAGCTGTGCCTAAGGATCAGACAGATAGACATAATGCATAGGCAGATCAATTTCATATTTTTCAGTGTATTATGAACCCAAAGGGATCAGAGCTTTATCAAATAGAAATGGACAAACATGTATCAAGGTCAGCTGTTGTAGAAACCTTTCTATCAGCTATGGTTAGAACCAATGCGCAATGTTAGACAATATATCTCATTCAAGGTATTTTTCTCATTCTGTGGCAATGTCGTGGCAGAGTCCGTGATCGGGTGTGTTCGTGATCGGAGCATGAATCTGTCAACGGCAGATGGAGGCCAATGCGCTAATTGTCGTTGGACATGGGAAGTACCACTTTATACCAAAAGGGACTACGATGGTACAGATTTCTTCGTTTGGCACAAAAATCGAGACAGGTACTTGTGCTATCTGTGCGCGCAGTCATGCCCAGATTTGCACGAGAAAAATCCAAAGAGTTTGCGTTACACCAGTTATCAAGAATGTCATGAGTACCGCAGGAACCACATGAAGCCACCGCCTGACCAAAATGGTGACACCTGGGACAAACATTTCCGTGAGTTTTGGCAAGATCCTTGGGGATTGGATGAAACAGCTTCAGTGGCAAATGTTTCAGATTCGAATGCTTTGCAAACTGGAATTGCACAATTGGAGAGTGTTCTGAGTGAGCTACAGTCAGAGCTTTTTGCTCTCTCTGAAAAGTTAGAAAGCTTCAAACAAACAATCAGGCTGACGAGCGCCACTCAAATTTAATTTCCTGACTCTTTCACAGAGTAATCCACTTAATGTGGTGCTTGGGACTGTGCATGCTATTCTTGGTGCGTCTGTTGATTTTCACCAAGGCTCATATGCAGATAAGAGCAATTTGCAGATACTGGTCTGTGCTGTCAAAAAAACAGATGCTAGCCACGTCATTGCTTTACATCGTCGTTGTCAATTTAGGATTATCATCTCTTAAATGTGATTTGCATTCAGTTTTTTCTCTATGGCAATTTTGTTTTGAACATCTCCAAGTGTTTTGATTTTTGTTTTCCTAGATAGGTCGAATCATAAGGCACGAGACATTGGTCATGATGGAAACATCAAGCGGCAATCGCATTTGAAGTCGCTGTCTCGGCTCGAGTTTGCCATTTGTGTTTGAGCTTTTGAAATGCTCATTCGTGGTTACAAGAGAACTTTTCGTGACTTCAGTACTGCAGAGAACAAGGCGAGGAAAAGACGCGATTGCAATGCTTGGTCTAACCACATGGATGATATCAATTCGGATGACAATCGTTCAGAGGAAGATTGGAAATCAGACAATCCCGAAGAAGATTTGCAGCAAATCAGTGCCAAACACTACATGACAGACGAACTTGCTTCCAGATGGTACAGAATGATGTTGAAGACAGTCGAGCTTCTGACAGATGATTGTCTTGCAGTTCTGCCTTCTTACTTTGGAGGACCCAGACAAGCTCGTTTATCTCGTGAGATCGAATTGACATCTGTGGTTCAGAAGCTGCAAGATTTGAGCTCCGACATTGTCGACATGTGCAACGATAAATTACTTTCAAAAAAACAGTCTGAGGCATTGACTGAAAGAATCCGCAAAAAACGCAAACTTCTGAAAGGCCTGCTGTTCTTGGACTCGCTTCTATTTTTGGAAAGTACATTCGAAGGAGTTTTTCTGTCATGTTTTAGCTCTCCGAGTATACCGAGGTCTTCTATACGCAATTATATGAAGCGTTTCAGCATGAATTTAAACACCTTGCAGACTTTATTGGAAAACGGCTGTCTCCTTGAGAGTGAGATCGTGCAGCGTGGATGGCTCGTTCTCAATTTCGATGCAATGCCGGATGAGGTGTTTGCAGAGATGATCGAAAATAAACAACGGGAGCCCACTTATGTTGCTCTCAAAGATATGTTTAGAATACATTTTCTGGATGTTCCTCTATTAGCTGCAGAGGCAGGGCACGATGTGTGTCTACGCTTCAATTTCATTCCCAACGCATTACAAGAAGTTGTGAAGCAAGCCAAAGAGCGCGGTTCGCACACTCCAGAAAGGCGTGTATATTCTTGGTTGCTCCAATTAATTGATTTCGAGAACGAGAGAAAGAGCAGGATTCGAGTGCATGATGAAGAAGAATTAAAAATTGCAATTTGGGGATTCCCATATGACAATTCAATGGCTCACAAGAACCGTATGGCATTGGACAACTACTAAATAGTGGCTGTCTTTTGTTAGCGTTTTTAGAACACGACTGCCTGACAAAACAAAGAGCCCTGCTGTTTTATCAGTCATGATGTTTACTTGTTGTCACAGCACCATTTACATATTCACCTGTCGTTTACATTTTATGTCAAGCTGTGCTAGTCACATTGTCAAAATCGACAAGGGAAACGATGAGAAACAACAATGCAGACATCTACTGCTGATTCCTGCACTGTCAGTTGATCCGTGATCGGGATCGTTCGTGATCGGGTAGTAAACTGACTTTGCTATGATTAATTGAGTTTAGTGGCTTGTGCATAAATCTATTGAACAATTTCATTAGCATTTGCTTTAGCTTGTTTGCTAACCTCTCTCGAAATGGCAATGCCTCTCGCTTGGCCTGAAATTGCTCATACAGCAGAAGATGTGCTGCAGTTCTGCAAGATGATTGGCAGAGGAAGTAACTACACTCAGATTGATGATCTGTCACGGAATTTGGAAAAGGGGTCTACAACACACTCTTGTTTGTTCCAGATGAGCAGCTCAAGTCCGACAGACATCTTGAACGAGATTCCGATGCTTGGCCAACAAGTTTTTGACATGAAGCTGGACGAAGAGAGAAAAGTCAACCCTCACAATCCTTGGAAAACTGTGCAGATCAGCAACAACAGGGTGGTGTATTATGAAAGTGCCTCCATAAACAGAGGATCGTGTCAATGTATATTTTCCTTTGGAGGCGAGAACAAGCAGGAAAGAGTTCGTACTACCTATGCTGCACGACATTCGATGCAGGGATTGGCCATACAGCAGTTCTTTGAAAAACATTTCCTTCAAGACAATGCGTCTTCTTGGTATAGCCGATCTGGAAGTTTCTCGACAGTAATTTGGGTCTATTTGCTTATGTATGTATAATGTTTCTTATTATTCTTATTTTTTAAGACAAAGGCATCATTATAATTTAATCTTTTGGTCCGGCTGAGGTTTTCATTTGCTGATCAACCGCTACACGTACAACAAGAATCATGGAATCTCTTTTCACGATGACATTAAAGAAGGATATGATGTGGACAAAGATCCCATTACTTCTTTCTCCTGCCGACTCGGGTCTTTGCTGGTTATCATCTCCAGCACAGCACCAGAGAAACAAGAGAAGACCGAGGGCAAACGTGCGTTTGTTGTGTATCAGCCTCCGGGAACAATTCTTGTGATGGGCGGCAAGTTTCAGAGAGCTTACAAACATGGTGTACCAAGTTTTCGGGAGATCAAAGAGCTTCTTGCTTGTGCAGACGACTTGACTACTTGGGACGGTGTGAAACTAAAATTGGAATGGTTTTCGAATTCGAAAGACTTGATGCGACAGGAAGTTAGACGTATTGACTCCTTGAATCTGGTCAACGAGCAAGACGCACGTTGGAACGTCACAATGCGATGGGTGAGAAATCATTCACAGCCTTTCTGTCCTCTAAATCCCCGACTCTTGGCAAATATCAGTCAACTGGATGAAGAAAATCATCAGCGGAGGAATCAGCTGAAGCAGCTGAAACTGTTGAACCCGGTATTGCAGAAAAAAACTGCAGAGCCAAAGGCAAAGGCCGCTAGCCCGGCATTTGCTTGGAACCCGCCCGGAGGAAACAGAGCTCGTCCAAGCAAAAGCGGAACACAGGATGTGAATCCGGGGAGGGAAACCGAGGAGAAAGAATCGGAGAAAGATTCAGAAAAGGAATTAAATGAGATATTTGACTTCGTTTCTATTATTTCTGATGCCCTGGAGCTGCAGATATTATTAGACGATCAGATGATTGGCATGGCATTGTGTGGCAGCCAGCAAATTCGCAAACATCGTTTCTCCACATTTCAGAAACAGTACAATCTTGGTTACAATTTGTACAACAAGATTTCGGCAGCCAATATGAAAGTGAAAGAGGATTTAGACCCGTTACTCGAGGCCGTAGATCGGAAACTGAGGAGATTGAAAAACTTGCAGATGCTTATTGAGCTTTTGTGGTTGGACAGCGAAGGTCAGGGCAATTTCATGAGCTGTACTACTCTGAACCAGCAGCACGAGTTCAACAAGTCAAATGATCATCTGAATCGGGTTGTGATGTCCTTCTTTGACTTGAACGAATGCTTGCCTGTGGACGGCTTTTTGAGCTGGGATCACATGATTGATGAAGGATGGCTGGTGTTCAATTTCGACACTTTACAGGACAATCGAAAACCCAAAGCGGAGGTAACAAAATCGAAGAAAGGTTCACCGGTCGTAGCTGATGTCACAATGACAGGGATCGTCAAAGTGAGCCAATTTGACATCCTGTATATC